TTTTTTTAACATCATGTGGTACTGAATGTCTCCATTACAAACAGAAGCCATGAGTCTTCTAACATAGACACATTTTAAACAGGAGACAATTACCATTCTCCATTTGAGGTAGGACAACGAAAAAGAAGCAAGGCCATGTTGCTCTACCTTCTTAGTGCTTGAGCAGTGCTCAATAAGGATCAACAAGGACTGAAAATAAGTGCAACAAATCAAAAATACCTTCACTGAAGGACTCCTAATGATCTTTGATGCTTAGTGTACCTGCAGCAGAAGGGATGTGCAAATGTTGGGAAAAAGTGCAAGGATCAGAACAGTGATATTTTATCACAAGGCAAACATAACAGTGCAAAGCATCAAATTTTACTCTGAAAATCCTCATAAAGCTGTGCTACCATTTATGAAACATCACAGTGAGATACTAATTTTCAAAACCATAATTGCATAACAAAGCGCTTTTTTTTCTTTATGCCTTTTTTTTTTTCCTTTCAAGAAAAAGTGGCTACAGTCAGACACAGAGGATGCATGGTAACAGCTTAAAACCATCAGGTCTAAGACATAGTGACTTCCAAGATCATATTGTAATGGTCTTGAGCATCACATGGTATCATGGATGGAAAGAAAAGTTTGGCTATCCTTTAGTAAAAGTAAAAAGGAATTATGCTGCTGTACACAGTGCTACCAAAAGCAACATCTCCATGATTATAATTATTTCTGAACATCTAGTGTACAACTTTCAGAAATATAAAAAAAAATCAATCCTAAAGTTGGGAATGACCATGAAACTGGGAAGCTTTAAAGGTGATGCTTTACAAAAGCTCTTCTTAAAAACAAAACACATGGAAAAAAAAAAAGCAGATGTTTGGAAAAAAATCATCAGCATTATTGGAGCAAAAGCTTTTTAAACAATAAAAAGTGCATTGAATTCAATGTTTTTTCCTTCATTTACTTAGTAAATTTAAAAGTCAGTAGTAGTTTCATTAGGGGAAGAACCATATAGAGAGCTTCTCACGTTTATGCGTATGTATGAAACACAAATTTCCCCCTCACTAAACTTGTGGTCTGTGCGCACCCATGGGCGTGGATGCATCTGTGTTGTTGCTGCAGCGTGTGGCAACACCAGGGCTGCCCTGTGCTGGCTCCAACAGCTCCGCCACAGGGCATGGCTGGGCCCAGCAGCCAAGATGGCGGCGCCTCGCCTCAGGGACAGCCTGGGGAAGGCAGAGGCTGAGAGGGGCTGCGAAGGCCGGCCCCAGCCCCCTGCTCAGGGGCAGGAGGAAGAAGAGTGGGGAATGGAGGGGGAGATTGGGCCTCAAAAGGGAGAAGGAAAAGTGTTGTTTTAACAAAGATGACTTTGCTTTTCTCCACCCAAATCTGCTTTGCTATTATATTAGATTAACCTTCCTCAAGTTGAATGTGTTTGCCTACCAGTTACCATCACCAGCAAATCTCCCCGCTTTATCTCATCCAGCTAAGGTTTTCCTCCTGTCTTCTCCCCTAGTGCTGCCAAGAAGGGGAGAGCACGCACACAGGCAGGTGCGTGTCTGTCTGCTAGCCCAGGTTCAGCCAGCCCAGCTCCCTAGCCCTCAGTTCAGGATAATACTTCACTGTCACGCTGCTGACCTGCGTACCTGTAGCACAGGGAAGAATCTAAAGTAACTCTTCTAGTAGTTTACAAAAATACAATACAATGAAGTAACTTGTAAACAGTTATTCTCACTTTTAAAAGGCACTGAGCATTTTTTACATGTTGTTACGTAAAGCAACTTGTAAGAAACAATTAAAACATCTTAATGATAACGGTTAAAGATTTTATCTGATCCCAGTGAAGGCAAAATAAGAATTCCAATCCTTGACTAGCTGGAGATCACAACATCAGCATTTAAAAAAACATTTTGCTGTATGTAGACACTAGTACACTGAGTTCTGCAAATGTACTAATAAATAATATGAAATATCACGGACTGCAAAACAATGTGCAACTTATAGAACCAAATATAAATTTAAGCAGTTATTGGTTAATAAATCACTTGCAATTTTATCCCCTTTGGATACACTGTAGCAAAAGATTGTTTAGTGCAATTAACTTTAATAGCTTCAAGGGAAGTTTGGCTTGTCATCATTCCTTATCAGAATATCAGCCCTATTTCCCAATGAAAATGAAGACCAGTTTCAATTGTGGAAACAAACAAAGTAGGAAATGAGCCTGTTTCTATCATCTGTTACTTTCTGTCTACTTTGATAAACTAAACTGTGTGGCAATGCTGCTAGGTGCTGGGACTGGTCATTTATAAAGTTAAACCATAAATACAGCTCTTTGCAGTTTTGGCACCAGCCAACGAGCACTCTCCCAGTACTTCCTCTGAGTAGTTTTGCAGTAGGCACAGACCAAAAATCATTTCCAACCTGCATGTGGACATTCAGCCTGAACCATAGTGCAATTAAATGCTATGGACTCAGTTCTTTTGTGCCTATGAACATCAATGCCACAGAATGGTTGCGAACACAGTTGACCCATTAGAACAAACAAAGCATTCAAAGCAGCACAGATCTATTTTTTTTTCCTCTATATGTTATTTAAGAGCATGTGATTCTCCACTGGGTAGTGTTTTTTGTTAACCAGCAGTATGGGGGTATGTTTGACACAGCTTGCTGATGTAAGATAACATGAGAACAGTCTTTCACATCCAAGACTAAGAACAACAAAAACCTTTGGAGCACCAGCCCCAATGTCTTAGAGCAGATGCTCCATTTTCAACCCAATCAATGAGCACATGTGCTCAACAAAAGAATTGTAAATACCCACAGAATAAAAAAAAAAAAAAACTTTACATGAGATTGTAAGAGTTCTAACTGAAAGTTAGAATGCAACAGTTGAAATGTCACTTATGTTAAATAACCTCTCAAAGCGCCTTACTCAGAGGACTGTTAAGTGTCTAAAGCAACATCTATTTTTAGAGGAGCTATGCCAGAGCCAGAACTGTAAATCAGTAAAGACTCATCTCTGTTCTGTGCAAATTGTCAGAAAATCTAATGACAAACGTGCATGCCTGTTCTGTGGCACAATGGGAGTAAGGATGAACAATTTTTAAAGGGACATCACATCACAAACCATTTGTTCTTTCAAACTCAGTAAGACTGAAGATGACCAGTGATACTCATACAAAACTAACTGGATTTCCTATAAGGCTTTCAACAAGGTCTCTTACAAAATGCTCTTATAGAGGCTAAGAAGTCATGGAATATGAGGGGAAGTCCTTGCAAGTATGAAAATAAAAGACCGTTTTGAACTGTCTGTACAACATTCTGGAAAAAGGAGTGAACAGAAAGATGATTCTCCTTACAATGCTAAATTATTCTGGTAAAGATGAAGACCAACTGCAAAGAACTGCAGAACTTCAACGAAGTATCAAGTAATGTACTTGCCAAAAGATGGAAGAAATGTATGTAAAAATAAAGAGATTCATCCAGTGGAAAAACAAACAAACAAACAAACAAAATTAATGTCACATGGGCTTTAAAATAACATTTACTACTCAGGAACATAATCTTGAGATTATATATTCACATAAACACCAATTCAGTGCTCAACAGAGGTTTAAAAAATCAATCATTAGGATTTATTATGAGGGCATTTTTATGCTAATGTACAGTCCGAGGTCTCCCTGAAAGCTGAACACAATTTCTAGTTCTGCCTACGAGAAGGGTAACAGAAATGGAAGAAAAGTTCAAAAAACCACAATGAAGATATCAAACCTACAGAAAGCTTCTATTTTAGAAACAATTTAGTAGCCATGGACTTAACAGGACAAGATAAAAGTTTATAAAGTCACAGCTTCCTGAAGATTAGCCAGTGTGATTGTTTACCAACTCTTCCAACCAAAAAAAGTAGGGTAAGATTAAGAAACTATCATATAACAGTAAACAAACACAAGGCTGAGTTTTTCACAGAACACACAGTTCAGCTATGGGTCTCTCTGCTATAGGATACCAAGGACAACAGAATTTTGTAATAAGAAAAGCAACGAGACATATTCATGGACCTTTTCTGCTCCACCGAGAACAGCTTGGAGGGGATAAGTAAAAGACACCACATCTGGAACCTAGAAGTCCTTTAACTGTAAACTGCTGGAGGCTGGGAAAGTATACCAGGAGAAGCACCTTACAAGCTCATCCTGCTCTTACACACTGCTTCGCTGGCCACCTTCCTCCTGGCTGGCCACCTTCAGAGAGAAGATACTTTGCTAGTTGGATATTTGGACTGATCTTGTGTTCCTGTTATTGCAAATTATCCAGAAGTCCAGCTAGCCCTGGTGGTCTATTTAGAAGAGTAATATTTTTAATCACACAAACTTTTATTTTGGAAGTTGCCGGTAAAGCATTTAGAGATGTTGTATGAATCCAAAACAAATTCAATCGATTATGTACTCTATCCTATCAACATTATGAAACATTTGCCTGTAAACTGAGTCAGCCCAGTGGCAAGACAACTGAATTCACAATTATTAATTTATATTGCAATGGATATCAAGTAATTTTTATTTTAAATGAAATTTAACAGCAATTATTTGTATTGGCTACTACAAAGATAAGGGAAACCACACCAAACTTACCTGCTTTTGGACAGCACTTGTGTAAAGAAGTTCTAAAAGAAAGTTAAGCTTCTTAACCAACACAGTGTTTTTCCCTCATAACTGATTTCAAAGCAAACACTAATTCCCAGAAAACACAAAATGTGATAATCATACTAAGAAAAAAGCATTTCTACAAGTATTTGATATATTACTCTATTCTTTATTATAATTCAAATCAGAAAAAATACTTTGCAGAAAGTTATTAAAAATTAAAATTGGAACAAGCAGTAACAAATTTAGAAAAAACGTGAATTTCAAAATCATTCATGTTCTGTTTTAATTACAGGGAAAGTAGACTGTGTTTTAAACTCCAGATTCACTGTAAGAAAAGATGTCATATATCTAGAATATTAAAAATGATATACCTACTTGTCAGTGATTCTCCTCCAGAGCTGTGCACCTGCAATTGTGAGAATATAAGATGACACACAATGCAGAAACAATGCAAAACAGAAATCACATATAGGTTTTTCTTTATTCATAAGCATTGTGCAAATTTAGGACAAAATGAATAAGGAATTCTCCCTAACATTTAAAACCAAAGTAACAGTTCTCAGAAAAAGTCTTTTCTCTAAATTTAACATACCAGTTTAAAATGTTAATGAAAAAAATACCGTATTATGTTGCTATATTTTCATTTGGAAGAAGATAATCAACATAACTTTTGCTTTACAGCTACAAACCGGCAAACAGTTTCTACACGCCTTATGACTCTGTAATAGTCTTGCCATCTAGTGGCTGGCTGGAACTGTGAAGTAGCCCTACAGAAGTGTTATCCTGGGAAGAATTTCTTCTGCTGTTTGGAGTGACACCAATTGTCACTACAACAAGATTTTAACTGTAGTAAAATAATCATTCTCTAATCATAAAGCTGGGAACAGAGGTCTTCCTGACCTCACCTCTATGATGAAAAGTTGAATAATCACTTAGAAGCAAGAGTGAAAGAGAAATGAAGAGGGGATGGTAGCTTGGTCAATACTGGTACATCTTGGATTTGCTCAATACAAAAATGTTAGTAATGACAGCTAAGATTTACTTGTGTAAATAACCACCTTCCAACTGGTGAAGTATTCAACATTAGAGGTGATTTATACAACACAGCCTAAAAATCAAATCACGCTAAGCTTTTTAAATTAGCCTCTAAGTTTGCATCACTCAAGCAGGAAACAATGGTAATGGAGACTCCAGAGAAGGCAGTAACAACAAAAAATTTCTCAAAAAGGTTGTGGATAACGACTGTAACTTAGCAGGGAAGAATAGGCTGTGGAGGTCAAAAATGAAATGCTAGTAATGTTGCAGAGGAATACTGTGATTCTCTGATACTTATTTCCTGCTTTCCTTTGCATTTTTCAAACACTGCACCATATTCAACATCAAAGAAAAAGCAAAATAAGCCACTTCAAAAAATCTTCCTAGCAACAAGAAATACACATTGACGAACAACCTTTTGCCAGAGAATTTTCAAGATGGTAATGAAGTACAGGGAAAAAAAAGTTAAAACAATACAACAACACAAAAAACATCCCCTTTTAATTTGGTAGTACTTAGATAAGATTGTACACACTGGAAACTGAACACTCCATAAACTAGAAAAAAATTACTGTTTCACTTATTTCAACTGTGAGGCAGATAGGTTATTTCACAATCCATTTACAAAGTTGACCAATTTATATTAGATCTCCACAACTTTTCAACAGTGATCTAATTAGAGTAGTGTCAGAAGAAGTAGGAACTTTTAAGAAAACTTTGTATTTTAGATAATAATGGATTTTGAGACCTAGAAGATAAGATACAAGACTGACTGCTCACTGATACTGGTTATACTCATACTGAAACAAATCTCATAATGCCCTGTCTCTAAAATATATCAGAACTTTACTACAAATGGTAGTAGATCATTGTAGATTGTGTTATTTCACTCAGAAATTAGCTAATATTTTTGCAATAATCCTAGTATCATAATGTTAAAGAGGATTTAGTAAAGGAGTTGTGGGTGTTTAAGCAAGAAACTCTATCAGTATACTGACCTACCTTTTATCCTAGATAAGACCAAATCCTTTATTATCTGAAGAACTAGCACTCCAAGTATTATGAGAGAAGTCAGATGATACACTCTCCAAGGGGTCAGAGCAACAAACCTAGAATGTTAAGAAGAAATAAACATTGAATACTTGTAAACTTATTGAAAGTATACATATAATGACATCTGTTATTAGTATAGAAAATAAGAGAAAAAATAGACTGATATTTCAGTAGTTGAATTTAGTTTGTCCCCACAACATTTTCACAGAAAGTCAACAATGAGAGCTCCAAGCATGACAGTCTCATTCATAGAATTTGTTGTTGACAAAAGCGTGAACAAAAACCTAGGCACAGGAAGTATACAAACCTGAATATTTTCATTATTGCATAAGAAGCATTACTACTTAAATCATTTAAGGTTTTAGTAAAAATAATTGTCTTGACATAACAGCTTTCTTTTTATTCACATATAATGGTTAAACATTTTCTTGTGTTTTCTAGAGGACCTCAGTTCGCATCAAAGTTTTATACAAATGATTCTTTCAAATGCAAAGATGAGGTAGAACTGTACAATTCAAGGCACAATACTCAAACTTCATATTGAGCTTTTGTTCTTCATTACAAAAAAAAAAATTAGTGTGTCTAGTCAAGTCAAAAAGCCCTAGACTCACAATGTATGATTTATAATCTCATGCTCTACTGACTTAACTGTCTAAGAGTGTCTGGCTTAACACTTCTGTCTAACATTCAACTAAATAAAAGAAGTAATTTACCAGTTTGTTTCAAGCACTTTAAACCAGAGATCTGATTACAAACAATGAGCGTATTACGATCATTTTCAAGGTAAGAGCAAAAAAGGTTAACTTCAAAACAAATAAATAACTGAAGCTGAGGATAGTCAAAAATAAGAAGTCATCTAAGGGGCAGTGGGTCAAATAAGAATACCAACAGAAACGAAATCATATAAAGCAGAGAGGTTTCCAAGAAACTGATTTGTAAACAGGGCACTTGGCCTCCCACCTAGTTGCTGCAGCAGTTTTCCTACAGAAAAGAGGAGAAAGAAAATGAAAAGAAGCAAATATAGGCACTGGATGAAGCCAAGGAATACCCTTTGAGCACACCAGACTTTTACAAAGAAAATTGCCTTCTAGGTGTTTCTACCATAAAAAGCATATCCAGCACTTGTGAAAAACTGCTCAAGTATTCCTTGAAATCCTGAGAAAATAGGATTGCATCAAGGAAAACCTCTATGCCACTAATTTTCACACTTAATACAATTCACAGAAACTCAAAGCCCTATCACCCTGACCAGACCAGGGTATGTCTTCCAATACAAACAGATAACTTATTCTGAAGGGTTTCTACATCTATACAAAGTATTAATTATTATTCTATGGGAACAATATATATGTGTATATATATATTTTTTTTTTCCTCAATTCAGTACCTCTACAATTTCAGCCAGCTCAAGAAAACCAAGAGATGCTTACAGAAAAGATGTTGACAAGCTTTTTCAAAACTGCCCAAGCATAGCTCTCATTAGATCAAATAATAATCTTCAATATTAAACATCCTTGATTTTGTTTAAGGGTGAAGTTCAACTGCATTGAAGATTACATCTAATCTATTTTTTCCACTTACTAACAAGTGAAAAAAGTGGAGGGGTGGAGATCAGACACCGTGGAGAAAAGTAAACTAAAGTATTTTAAATGTGATTTCTAGTTGCCTAAAGTTTGTAACAAATGCAGACCTTTAAGCTGCATGGCCTTAATACCATGACTATTCTACAGGTTCTTCATGGTGCTTGTACATTAAGGTTTCCTAGGATCAAACAGTATGTTCTGACTTAATAATTAACATTGGGCCATCCTCTGTGGGTGAAAGAAATACATCAGTACTGAAGTTTATGCATGTTTCCACACATGCATAAATGCATACACAGTTTGCTACTTCTTAAAGTAAGATGTTTACTATCTTTCAATGAATATATAGAGTGTTTAACCTACTTTGCAGTCGCAACTAAGCCATACTCATAGTTTCACTGCAATCACAGCTGTCACCTGCTGTTAAAAACAGTTGTACTAATGTGGACGAGGATTAGTAAAAAAGGATTAGCAAGGTAGCATGCTGTCTGAAAGACGCTTCCAAGTCATGTCATTTTATGCTCTCAATACTGCTGTTTTTCTGCTCCACAGCTTTTGGGGAAAAGAAACAACAACGTAATCTATTTAGAGCAGCTAACATAGTAGGCAAGCAAAGGCTCTTCACTTACTTGGAAAGCTTTGAATTGTTCTGACTGGACTTCCAGTGCATTAGCGTTATTAGTTGTCACAACCCTCCCTCCATTGTTTCATTAACTTAGACTGCAATGTTTGCAAGAAAGTCTCTCTCTCGGAAATTCATTCACAGCCACTGTGTATCAGCCCTCAGGTGCTCTACCAATACAGATTAGAAAAGCTGCAAGCCATATGTCAGACAACTCTGACGCACATCCTCAAATCCATTATCAGTCAATGGCTGACAATGTCCTCCCTATTTTTTTGGTAGGTATCTACCTTCAGCTTACCAAAATGTTAGTCCATGCTGGATATCTATGCTTTTTGTGCAGCAATGGGGAAAGGATTTCATGCCGGGATATGAAAACCATGTATTACATGTATGCTAATGGCGTAGGGATTCAAAATTCTTGAAGGAATTATCAACATGATGCATAGCAACCAGATTAACAAAAAAGTTTCAGTCGTACTTTTGCTTATTATTAGGAATTAGGTTTGGGGTTTCCTCCCCTACCCCTCCCCTTTTTTTTTAATTAGAATTTACTTGAGTATTTCTAAAACACAAGCATTCCTGACAAAACTGGAAGGCACCAGAATGACATCACCACATATTGCACAAAAATAATTGTTTAGTAAAACAACAGCTACACTTACTTAAGAAGCTTTTATGCTTTTTTTTTTAAATCAGTAAACAACACAGGCTGAAGTTCAATTTCTTCTACTGAAAAAACATGCTGTTACAAGTGGTGTGGAAAATAACCATTCCCAGAGACAGATTTGTTCCCTCATGAAATTCTGCACTATTTTGATAGTGATAGCTTTTTCAGAAAGCAAAGGCTAGAACAATGCATAGAATTATGCATTTTACATAACGACTTCAGTAGTTAACAACAGGGTAGCCTGCATGTCAATGTGGCCAGGGACTGCTGCAGGCAGCGTGGGACTTCTTAAAACCAGCCACGAGGTGCCACAGGACTCAGGCCCCCACACTGGTTGAAAAAGGCATCCCTAGGACATGAGAGGCCTTCACTCTGACAGAGCTCCAGAGGCAGGAAACAGCCACCTGGTTTGGGGGCTGCAAGAAATGCCTCAAGCCTCTCCCCTGGGCAGATGGCAACAGCGGTTTCACCTGGAGATGGTCGCTGGTTGGCATACGGAGCAGCCAAATGAAAGACCTACTGGAAGCAGTAAGCAGGGACAGACCGTCAGGGAAGTATGATCTCCAGAATCTGTTTGGGTAAGCACCCGAGCGACTTGATCTAACTGGACCTACTTTGGGCAGGTTGGACCAGCTGACCTCCTGTTGTCCTTCCAACTCACATCCTTCTATGACTCTACAAACAGGTGATTTATACGGTATCTGCAGAGATCTTGCAGAGGCACCAACTCAAATCCAGCATTGCAAAGCAGGAAGGCCAAGCAGACTTTGAGCAGTGGATGGAGATCCCCACGATGGGAGAGGCTGGAAGCCTGGGACTTCTGGCAGCAGAGGAAAGGTTCCTTCTCTGCCCTTCAAGCTGAACTTGCAGAATCAGTACCATACCATGCTGTAATAGCCAATACAGGGAAAACACCTGCAGTAAAGGAGGCCTCAAAACCAGCTGGGCCTGAAGACAGCACTCAGACCAAGAGGAAGCAGAAACTAAGTTTCTAACAGGGGTTAAAGATTATCTTCTGCAGGGAATGGAAGCAGGCAGCTGCTGAAAAAACATACTGTCATGAGAGGCTCACTGCTTGCCAATGGCCTGGATTTGAGGTCTTGCTAAGGCTTACCTGGTTTGACTACTGGTTGTTGTTGTTCATGCATGTGGGCACAACTGGTACTGTCAAGGAACAGCAGAAAAAAAACAAAGAAGGACTGCAGAGCTCTAGAGATGAATATGGGGACCCAGGTATTGTTCCCATCAGTTCTGTAGGTTAAAAAGTTGTCCTTTGTCTTTGGTTAGTTTATTACTAACACTACACAGGGAATGGGGGGGTGGTTTGGCTGAGTACGCTAGAGGCAACAACTGAAAGAAAATGAAATTGATGAAATTCAAAGGCAAAAGGCCTGCACCTGGTACAGACCAACCTCCTGCATCTGACTGGCTGAGGGGATACTCCTTGGAAAAGGACACGCAGGTCCTGAGTGACAGTAGGTTTAGCCAGCATGAACTGTGCACACTGGCAGTGATGAAAGCTAACAATGTATCAGGCTGCATCTGCAGGAGTCCAGGCACAGCACAGGTGGTGAGCAATTCCCCTTTACAGAGCAGTCATGAAATTACATCTAGAATACTTTGCTTGGTTTTGGTCTCCCAAAACATGAAAGACATCAGTGATGAGGAGCAAATTTAGCAGGCAACCACCAAGATGAAGTTAGGGGTGAGGGAGGGGAGGAGCTGGAGCACTTGTGTTGTGTGGGAAAAAAAAAAAAAAAATTAGGAACCTGGTCTTGCTCAGGCTGGAAAAAGGTGGCTTTGTAGAGGAGACGTAATAGCAGCTTTCCAGTATAGCAGCTTTTCCAGCACAAAGTCATTTTCTTAAACTGCACAGTGCAACTTCTCTGAAAGTATGACTGCTCCTGCTCTTACAGAGAACTGCCCAACACTGTTCCAGAAAGAAGCCCATAGTGATTGTATGTAGATAAGGATTATTACTTTCATATTAATCATCTGTGTTCTGGAAATACTAAAATGCAGTATCTATAAATATTAAAATCCAAATGCACAAATATTCAACGCATTCAAAATCCAAAACTCAAACTCAGTATTTTTCCTGTTGTTCCTTTAGCGCATTTAGGTCTGAGCTGAAGTATTTCCTGATCAGGAATTATGGCGCAAAAAACCTTTCCCCATTGC